CATTTACGCTTTGCCCTGCTCTTTCCAGGCTTAAAAACTCTGTGCATGACCATTGTTGAGGTTTTTTTGCCCCGGAGCTTTCCCCAGAGCGAAAATCTGCTCTTTAGTGCTTAGTTGGACCGTGCCTGGAAAGAGCAGTGTGTTATGTACTGAAGTTCTCACCCTGGGCCAGCGGGGGATACTGTAGATAGTTATGCAAATGAAGGATCAAAAGTGACATTCAGTGATTGGATAGTTTTAGAAAGTTGCTACAGTAACGTTGTACTGGAGCTCTATATAAGCAGGCTGACTGAGCCCTTCAGTTCAGTTCTGTTGTGGCCTCTGAATAAAGAAGAGCTGTTTGAAGAATCGCTGTGTCGTCTGATATGTTCACCCACAACTTAACACAGAGGAAAGGTAAATGTGGAGAAGCCCAAATATTTTTTGATCTTCAGAACAAATGCTCACAGTTGGCATCCATGGGTGCAGAAGGCTTTCAGATTATTTGACATTTGTTTATATCCTATACCAAGGCCTGCTCTGTATTTTTTTGGGGTGTGTGTGTGTTAAATAAACATATGCATTCACACACACAGAGATGTAGATCTATCCTGCCAAGGGCATTATATTTAAGACACATAACCTTTCTAGTCCCCATTCCTTCTAAGTGGGGATGTGATATCTTCACCCTCATTTTAGATCCGTAAAGCTGAGCAATGCTTTGCAATATCCTGTCTGCTGGGGATAGCCTGTGCAATTTCTGTATTAATTTACACATCCTTTTGCGTAACTCTCCCAGACACTTCAGGCTCCTTTCCTGTGTACCTGCAACATGACCCAAAGGTACATTTTCGCTGTGTCAGGCAAGCCGTCACATAAAAGCACCTGGGCCCTGACGGACCATAAATATAGAAAACACTGCCTTTATCCCTCATTTGTGACCATTGAGAGAAGCCACACACCGCTTCTGTACTTGAGAAGAAGACCCTCCCTGTGTTAGTAGTGGACAATTATAACTAGACTTCCATAGGTTACTTAGATGTCGAACTTTACTTCTTTTGTTATCTCTTATTTTTATTCTTAATAAAAGCTGCTAAAGTAAAAACCTAGCTTTGGCACTTTATTTGCCACCCTTCCTGGCCACTAACTGGCTCATAGCGCTGGGGTTATTCCCCTGATTAGAGTTGGATCAGCTTTTTGGAAAATGTTACAGGCACAACTGGCCTACCTCGCAATGCAGTCTTAGCATGAAAGGGTGTTGCACGCAGACAGCCAGGATCTCTGGGCAGCAGCTGACATGTTCAGAAACCGAACTGAACAGACTAGAGGGAAATCTGAATAGTTTAGATTAGAGGGAACGAAATAGATTAAAGAGAAAATTATATTGGTACAAAGAGGGTTGGGGAAGAAAAGGGCCTATGCCAGTCTACCTGAGGCAGTCCAATCTGATCACGCGCCTAGTAAACTGTGACTGTTTAGGTTTTCTCTCCTAATCTAATCTGGTGGGCAGAGCGTTGCACTTGCAAGACTGAGGCTCAAATTTAATTATGGCTTTTTGTAATCCGGCACTATTCAGTCACAATTCCTCCCCGTTGGTATACTGGGAATAATACTTGTCTGGACCTATGTTATTGTTGTGAGGATGAAATATGGGCTTGTGAGCCCTATATTTAAATGCTACCTCTGTTTTCATGAAAGTAGTTCATGTGCTTGGCTGTGAATCTACTTGCTTTTTTTTTTTTTTTTAATTACCACCACCTAACAGAGCAGTTGAAGAAGGTATAAATTAATTTCCAGCTTTCCTGGGTCACACACATTGCCACAAAACAGAGATAGTGGAAGGAGATTTAGAAGCCACATTTCTCTAAGCATGGCTTGAACCACCAAGTCTGTTGCATCTAGCTTAGGGCTTCCCTTTTTCTGTGTATAAGACTAGGTTTTTTAACCAAAAAATTAGGTTTAAAATTGGGGCTCGTCTTATACACAGGTAGCTCTGAGGAGTGTTTTCTTAATTTGGAGTCCCCCAAAATAGGGGGGCATCTTATACATGGGGGCATCTTATACACGGAAAAATAGGCAAATGCAGCAGTCTTAATTTGGACAATCTATTCTGAGTAGTACAGTGGTACCTCGGGTTACATACACTCCAGGTTACAGACTCCGCTAACCCAGAAATATTACCTCGGGTTAAGAACTTTACCTCAGGATGAGAACAGAAATCATGCAGCGGTGGCGCAGCGGCAGCAGGAGGCCCCATTAGCTAAAGTGGTGCTTTAGGTTAAGAACAGAGGTTAAGACCTCTGGAACGAATTAAGTTCTTAACCCGAGGTACCACTGTATTCTTAGGCACAGATTCAGAAGAAGATAAAAAAAAACACACTGTCAGAAGAATAGGGTGAGCCACAAAAACATACATCTCGGGTATCCAAGCCCAAAGCAGGGTGATGTGTCTTCCGCATATGATGGAAAGTGAAAAATGAAGTTGCTGTAAGCACCTTTGTGGGAAGGGGATTGCACAGTTTTGGGGATTGCACAGAAAAGGCCCTGTCCCAGGCTGCCACCCTCCCCTAAAAAAAACCATCTGAGCGGGGGTGTGGAACTACCAAGAGGACCCCCTCTGCTGATCCTAACACCTAAAAGGCTCTGTAGGGAAGGAAGCAGTCTTTCAGATATTTGGAGCCTAAGTTGTTTAGGGCTTTAAAAACTAATGTGAGCGTTTTGGATTAGGCTCATAAATAAACTGGCAACCAGGGCAGAGGTTGCATATATTCTAAATGGAAGGTGACCCAGTAATCTGGCTGCTGCATTTGGTGTGGGGGGGGCAGTTTAAGTTTTCCATTCATATTCCCCACACAGAGTGCATGACAGTAATCCATCCTGGATGTTCCCAGAGCACAGAGGTTAGGGGTATCGCAGTGGCCAAGTCAGATTTATCCAAAAAGGGAGCATAGCAACAGCAAGGCACTTTTTCATGTATTGCTAGCTTTGCCCGCTAGAAGCCATTTCTGTCTTGTCTTTGTTCTGTAGTCACCATGGTTTTCAAGCTCAAGGAACATCTTGTGGTGTTTTTTTTTTTACCTGCTTCTAGATTTTGCATGCAATTATATTTTTTTTAAAAAAAGCTACTGAGCACCAGTTATGCAAACTAGACTAATGCACATAATTCGGCATGAACTGTCACAAAGGCTCAACTATTATAGCTGCGGAAAAAATCCATCCTGTCATCGTATGCTATGGTCGGTTCTGTTCATTTCCATGGTGATGCCAACAAGCACATTATTTAAAATGTGTTGCAGCGGCACTAGTGTTATCTTGTTCTTGAAGTCTCCACAGAGGCTTCAACCAAACGATGAGAATTTGATTACTGTATTCCTCTTATAAATCTCAGCAGGATCAGTTCATCCTACTTTACACTTGACATGCCACAGAAAGCAGATGGACGAAACTATAACTGGAGGGGAGGTTAGGGGGCCACGTGAAGCTTATGTATCATTGGTGAATTTGTCTCTCACACATGTGGACAGGATAGCTCAGAGACAGCCTCCCACTCTGTACAGATCCACTGCTGATGCTGATGTTACCCAGAATGCCCTTTAACAAAAGTTTATTCTTTCTTGCAGCTGTCACTATTAATCTCCAACATCATCTTCTGATGGCAAAGGAGGCATTTATTATTTAGAAAGTCAGACAAAGGTCCTTCCATGTACTCATGTTCCGAACTCCCAGAGATTGGTAGGGTACGCAGAAGGTTAAAGCAAGAGACTGTTTCTCTGAGGCCATGATAAGCAAGAAGTGGCCTCTGAAAGCAGAGCTGGCTTTAGACATTTTCATACCAGAAGCAACATCAAAACACATGTTTTGTTCACCAACGACAGTCCCTATTTCCCAGCACCTTCCCTTGATAAATCACTTTTGTTATTTTGGCCTTTTTTCCCTTTGGAAATGCCTTACGAAAATTAGTGTTTTGGTGGTTTTCTTCAGAATGCAAATCTCGAGAACAGGGAAACAGATTATCATATTGTGTGTCAATGCAGGCACATGAACACAAAAGGCACCACGCTGTGCAAGGCCTCCCAATTTGCACATTGCAGCTGCTGAGCTGTATTTTGGAACTTGTGACAATCTTATTGGGAGTACAATAGATTTTTAACCAAACAAATATCCTCTTCCCATCAGAGACAGGCGTTTGCAGATTTTACGACAGCAAACCAAAACCTTCAGCTATGTGTAGTTAGTCAGGGATGGAGGAGACCAGGGCAGTAAAACTTGGGTCAGAGAATATGAGTACTTGCTGCTCCTATTTCCCTCTGTGAAATGGTGGAGGATTTGAAAACAGTATTCTTTCTCTCTGTTTTAAAAATCTAGCGACATGGAGTAAAGGTAAAGGGACCCCTGACCATTAGGTCCAGTCGTGGCCGACTCTGGGGTTGCGGCGCTCATCTTGCTTTATTGGCCGAGGGAGCCGGCGTACAGCTTCCGGGTCATGTGGCCAGCATGACTAAACTGCTTCTGGGGAACCAGAGCAGCGCACGGAAACACCGTTTACCTTCCCGCTGGAGCGGTACCTATTTATCTACTTGCACTTTGATGTGCTTTCGAACTGCTAGGTTGGCAGGAGCAGGGACCGAGCAACGGGAGCTCACCCCGTCGCGGGGATTCGAACCGCCGGCCTTCTGATTGGCAAGTCCTAGGCAGTTGGAGGCAAAAAATGACACTCCGACATATTGCCAAATCTGCTTAGATTTCCACCCCCTCCGCTTAAAAGTTTCCCAAAGTCCATGCCTGAACATATTTTGTGAGCACTGTTAAGACCTGTTTAGACTGGCTTTTGGAGATCTGGCAGAGTTTATTTTAGTGTTGTAATTTTATTAGGTTTCATTGCATTTTAATAGGTGTGGGTATGTGCGTGTTTCTGTCTGAAGCCTTTAGGGTGAGCTGTAAATTTGCATCAATACATGGAATGAGCTTCTAATACAGGCAAGCGAACTCTTTCTTCAACCTAGTTTTCCATTAGGCATGGTTTAAGGGGGACCACAGTGGAATGTTGCAGAGAGGTTTCCTGATGGCTTTGGTGAAATGCAGCAAATAATATAAGGGAAAAGAATTAGAAAATAGATATAAGTATCACTTCCTTAGAGACTTCCAAACCTACACTCCCCACACCTTGTATATTAAATTGATTTATAGGCCAGTAAATGCAGAACCTCACATTGCTCTCCGGGGATCCCTTAGGAAGATGGGAATAGCTTATGCAATTTGCATAATTGGTTGGTTGGATAGGGCTTTTGTTTTTAAAAGTCATGCTCTTTAACTAAGGATAACCAATTTGGGATATTTGGACAGCAAAAGAATTAAGTGCAAAGGATGCTGAGTTATATTGCCCACGAGTAAGTGCTCAAGTATGAAGCCATTTCCCCCCCTGCTAATATTCCTTTCCTTTCGCAGTCTGGTAACTGAAACTCTCTCTGAAAACAAGGGTGCAATGTGTCCTCTGGATTGTTAGCAAGTGAGCTGGACTTCTTGAGCCTAACCAATGAAGCAAGCTGGTCTTCCCTTTACTGATGGGGTCAATATCTGAAAGGCTCTCAGTGTACTTCCATACAGGTCTACTCAAAAGCAAGTCCCAGTGAGTTCAATGTAACTTAACAGCTAGGAAACTGAGCAGAGTCTCAAATTATGCACCCCTTGCTTAACAAATCATGTTATAGGAAAATTACCTCTCCAGTCACTGAGAGAGCTCTGTTGGGAGAAATTGTTCCTCGCATCTCTGGCTGTTCTCCTATGGAGTGCTGAAGAATCCTGTCATTTCCCTTTCTCCCTAACACCTTCGTGAAGCTCCCAAGATCATCCAAAGAACAGGGTTGAAGTGTCATCAACATGCTGACAACACCCAGGCTTCTTTTATATCAGATTCAAGTGCTGCTTCTTTCCTGGCGACTGTGGCTGCATGGGGCAGAGTGGAACAACCTTAGGTGGAAGCCAGACAACACAGAGGTAACACTGGTCAGAAATCCACATTAGCTGGAGGAGACCCATCTGTCTTTACCATATCCTGGAAAGACCCTCAATTCCCAGATGGAAACTGTGGCCGGAACTAAACATTTCCCCAAGTAAAAAAGATTATCATTGGAGAACAAGGTTTTTGGAACCCATTGCCCATGCTTTTGTCAACATCCAGGTTTAAAACTGAGGAACTTTGAAAGAAACCACTGCTGACGCAACGCAGCAGCCCATTTGAAGGATATCATTTGCTTCTGGGTACCATTTTTAAGATCATCAACAGCCCAAGCCGCGTCTTGTATGTACGTTCTAGAAGAATGGACAAAGATTAAGAGACACATCTGCAATTCCTGCTCACTTTTGCTCTGGCGCCACTTACTTTTCTATCTGGCCACATCCACTGAATGTGAGCCCTAACAGTTTTCAGATGATATAACATGGGCCTTGGTTTGGGGGGCGGGGGGGGGGGGGAGAAATCCTCATCCCTGCATTAGGGAGAGTTTGCTGCTCCATTGCTGTGCCCTGGAGAGGCGCTGATCCAAGTTTTAACTTAGGATGTATTAACTAGCAAAATGGCACCCATGTTTCCTTACATGGGGGATGTTACCCATTCACTCCCATCCCTGCATTCAGAAGCAAGTCAAAATGTCTTTGTTGACCCAAGTTTTCCAGTTTTCATAGGCATTCAGACTTCTTCAGTTGGATCATTTATTGGTTAGACTACTCTTGTTAATTTGTTAAAGCTTTGCCATAGTTTGAGTGGAAGCTACTCTGGTTTTACACAGAAGGGTGGGTTATAAAATCTACATTCCAGTCAATACATTTCTTGCCCTGTGACTGGCTAATTTAGGGATGTGGCCTAGTTTATTTTGTCTTGACACAGAACCCCCCTTTCCTGCCTTTAAGAGTATAGACTATAAGCAGCAATAAAATAAAATATACCAAACTTCTGCAAGATTCCTTTCAGTATCTGTGAGAAGGAACTTGCATGGTGTGGTAGTGCTGGAAGCTGCAGTATAGAATGATCTTTCCCTCATCAGCTGCCTTGGTGTACCCCAGAGTCTGTACTTGCTCTACTTTTACGGTGTTTGTAAACTCTAGCACTCAATACAACGTACCAGGGACAGGTAAGGTTGAAAAACGGAAGGAATCTCTATTGGTCTGAGGGGAAGAACATCTCAGTCATCCTTCAATGGAAATTGTAGCTTCTCTAGAAAAGCTAAAGAGATAATGGAACATCAACCAGGGGTGGGAGCCTTGTTAGGAAGCTGTGGCCTTCCAGATGTTGCTGGATTTCAACTTGAATAGCTACATCAATAGCTCCACTGGCAATGCTGTCTGAGGCTGTTGGGGGCTGGTAGTCCAATAACACCTGAAGGACCACAAGTTCTTCACCCCTGGTCCCCACCCGGAATCTAATTGTGGGTGGTTGACTGCTTCAATGCCCAAAAAACTTCATTTATCTAGAACAGGGGTAGGAAACGTCTAGCCCCCCAGATGCTATTGAGCTACAGACATCTCATCATCCCTGACCACTGGCCATGCTGGCTGAGGCGGATGGGAGCTGGAGTCCGAGAACAAATAGTGTCACAGGTTAGCCACTCCTGATCTATAAGACAGGCTAGGAGTTCAGAAAAGCCATTCTGATTTTTGACACCCCCAGAACCGCTGATTTGGCCAATACCTGAGCAAAATCCTCTCCCTGCTTTCCTTCTCCCAGTAGCCCAGTATTGCACTGGGTTGGCATAGAAACCACATCAGGGCCAGGCATCACACAGCAGCAGTTACATAAGCTCAAGGAAGGAAAGGAGGAAATAAAAATAAAGAAGCAACTCTTCTTAAGGAAGATGCACGGAGGCCACAAGGGATAACTAGCTCAGGAGGCAAGGTGCCCACTCACACAGAGTTTAAAAGGCAGCAACTCCCTGAAGTCAAGGCAGCGGGAAGAACATCCATATCAAGCTGATATCTAGCAGAAGCACCGTTCCCTCGTGGACAACTTTTGAGTAATGCTCTGTTTAGAGTCTTGCCACTTGCGTAATGGGTGCTAAACTTTGGTCTCTTCCATTTGAAGAGTTTTATTCCCAGGAACACCTAAGAAAAAAAGAAAACCCAGTAATTTCTTTTCTTATCTGTTTTGAGATTGCCATCCCCTGGGGGGTGAGGATGCTTCGTGTGGAGCACAACTCCTTGGGGCAGGGACAGAAAGTTCTGGACCCAGAGGGATAAAAGCACCAGCAGATGGGAGGGACACTCATTGTGGCTTTTCCTCCCCACCAAAAAGGCAGACCCACTGCAGAAAAACAAAAACAAAAGACAGGCTGACATTAACACTCTTACCTGTGTCCCTTCTTTCCGTAGCACCAGTTTCAGTCTCCCCAAAGGTTACCAACAATGCCATGTAGTAGTCCAGCTGCTCTTTAACAAACTAGCAAGTCAAAACCGGCCCTTGCATACATTCTAGAACAGGAGAGTGCCATTCACAATCCTCTCCTTAACTTTCTAACCGACAAGGATTCTTTCAGAAAGGCCCTTCCTGCTCCGTAAGAGCAATCCTAGGAAGCCAACATCCTCTATACGTTTCAGGTCCCAAGGTGGGGTGGCGTGGGGGGAAGTGCATTGGCTGCTGATGGAGGTATGCGACTGGACACCAGAGATTGAAGGCGTCAGAAACACTTTATTGCTGCTACCCTGAACTGCTCCTGCTGGCTTTACTGTTTGAGGAGCTGCACAGAGATTCAGCCAAGAGATGGAAATTTTTGACTCACGCACAGGAAGCGGAGAGTTTGGAGAGGCTGGGCAGCAGCCCTAATCTTACCCGGCTTTAACCAAAGATGTCACCGACTGGGGATATTGCAGAGGGAAGCTGTTTAGTTAGCACTGTGGCTACTCTCTAAGGCCACTTTACATATCTGCAGTCCTTACTCTCCTATGGAGCTGGCAGGCTCTTTCGCTGGCTTTCTTTCCTGTACTTCTTGGCAGTGAAGAAGAGGAAGAAAAACACACTCCCGTTAATTTCCCCTGGGCACTGAGCTACCTAGTTAACTGGGCGCAATGGAGCCTACTGGGGATCCCTGTAGGGAAGCCGAATGCTTCTACAGTACCCTTAATGCCAATGAGAAAGTCCTGCTTGAGAAGCAGGCCTTGGCATTTGCTCACAAATGTAGTAACAATCAATCAATGACAGCAGTCCACAGCAACTAAGAGGTTAAAGCCGGAGAATGTTTGTTCTCAGCCACAGTGATGGAACAGGTAAGGGTAGGACTGCCACCTGGTGAACAAAGTGAATACAGCAGTACTGAGACAGAATTGGCAACAGACAAACTAACTTGTAAGAAATCACAGCACACTTCCCATAATTATTTGTCTCCCAGATGTAAAGGCTGGTCGAATGGTCTTTGAGCACATTATATAGAAAGGATGACTTAAGTGCGAACCATGAACTCAATCTGATCTACTGCTCAGCCTTCCTAATGCTAACAAAGAGTGCCTAGGTGGGGGAAGGTCTAGGTGTACCTTGAAGGGCCACTATCAAGCAGCTCCATCTCCCTGTGAATGGTAATGGGCAAGTGCTAGCAGAGGACTTTGAAGGCGAGTCATTCAGGGTTCTTTGCAGCAGCAAAACAGGCGGGGCCTTAGTCAAAAACCCACTGGGGAAAACCCACTACATTCAAAGAGGCTTGAATCCCAGGAGCCTGAGGATACAATTCCACTCACTAACAAGGCGGTTTGGGGAAGGGTTCAGAGAGAAAGTGGGGTCAATCAGAGGAAACGTTTGTCAGCGCTGAGCTGTAGACCCCAGACAGTGGCAACCTCTACTACTTCTGTATGTAGAATGAGCCTTCAATATCATTCTCCTCCCACCCACCCCACTGCATCAACCCATCCAACCGCTCAGCCATGGTTGGCCCCCATCTCAGCGGGTCCTGCGGGTCGTGCTCAGCACAGACCAGCTGGCTCTCAAAAGGCAGTAAGTCTGGGATACAAGTTTGGTGGGCTGCAACTGTGAAAGCAGGTCGGACCCATGTTTCAAGGTTCCTGAAGCCGTGTGATCTGGGGCAAAGTCTTCGACATCCTTTTAAGGGCAAGGAGGCCATCAGAACGAACTGGGATCCAGCCCTTTTCAGCATTCAGGAGGGGGGCAGGGAAGCACATTCAGGTCTTCTATAATTAAGAGGAAAGCAATACTTAGCCCCACTGGCTTGCCATGTTCCTGACTGCTCCATACAAGAACAGAGGAAAAGCAGACATGGCAGGCAGCCTCCACCTCTGAGAAAAGGCGATGTGCCTCCTGTCTCAGCCCATTTCACAGCTGTGATAAGCTGGGAAGGGCAAGATTAATCAAGAAGCTGCTTTGCAACTACCAAACCCCTCTCCTGTTGAGAAGTTTCAGCTGAAACAGTGTTTAGCTCTTCACACCATGGATTTGTTAAGGAAGAAAAAGGAAGGGGGAAACAGGATGCCTGTATAGGATTTCAGGAATTAATCCTTAGCAAGCACTTTTTATAGATTCCTATCCCTGTAGGAAACAGGCCTTCAGTTTTCTAAGATCAAGGCCAGCAGCCTCGCATCGCTACCCGGTGGTGCATAGAACTATTAACTGCATTTGTCTCAGAAGCACACTGGACACGGGGTAATCTTCTTGTATTTCCACTACCACGTCAGCACAAGCAATTGTTGCTACCATTGGAAGTGACGCTCCCATCTCAGCATCAAGCTAACAAGGTCTAATTCAGGTACAGGCCAAAGTTCCGTAAATTCCATTCTTTCCAAAAAAACAAAGGAAAAAAGAGAGAGAACCCATTCGAAAAAGCCAGAGAACTGAAGAGAGGCAAGTGAAGAGGAAGGCCAAGAGGGTTCCCAGCAATTCTTCCCGCACGGTAGCAGAAAGCTCGTAACTTTTCACAGCGCCCACAAGCTCAAAAGGGCACCATGGGGCTTAGGCAGAGTTAGCAAGAGGCTGTGCTGGCGTCTGAGGCAGGTTTGCAGCTGACATCAGGTCTGTAGAAAGCATTTGGCTTGAAGGGTTTTGAGAGTCACCATTTAATCCAGTTTACGTTACAAAAAAAGGAGTGTGCACACTACAAAATAATCTTGATATGGGATATTAACCAGTTTACAGCTTCCATTCTGTGCAGGAAACCTGCTCCAGCGTGGCTGTTCAGAGCCAATGGGACACCACGGAAGCCTCTTGCACCCTAGGCATTCTGGAAGTCCAGGATAGCCTGCAGGGATCCCCCAGGAAATGGAGTTAAGATGCAGCCACCAGTTCTGGCTTTGGTTTGACTCTGACCGGCGATGTTTCTGTAAATAGAAGGAAAAAGGAAGGAGTTAACTTTCTCGGCTGGAGTTAGAGCTAACCAAATTCAGACCAATGGTTTATCTAGTCTTACAACTGGTCTGTCTTGCTATCTGCTCCCTTTAGAGGAGACAAGGGAGATGCTATGCAAGCAAACACTCCCAATCCCACAGCAACATCTCTCAAACATATCTTCATGTTTCAGGGAAGACTGTGATTTTCCATTTGAAATGCTCCTGAATGTCTGTATACTTGTGCCAAGAGCAGGAACGCTCCCTGTCACTGCCCTGATACAGTTCTACGCCTTGTATGTTCTAAGGGCAGCCAACAAGGAAGTTGAGCTAGTACTTTCCCCAAATCTCTCTGGAGAGGCTAAGCCTGGGGGCAGGAGAGTTCTGAAGCTTTACTCCTCAGCTGATGAGAACAACTGCACTGTACATGCCCACTTCAGGTCCAGCCCCAGCCTTTTTAAAAGGAGGGAGAGACAGTGGTAAGGTATATTGAAGTTTATGTCATAACAGCAGCTGGGCCAAACTGCACCGCATACAAGTTTATTACACAAGGCAGAGGTAAGAGATTCTGCAGAGAAAGATGAAACTACTACAGTACCAACAAGTGAGGATATTCTTCCAAACTGTGAAGGATATGATATAACACTATACTGGCTAATATATCGTGTGCCTCCTCCTCAAGAGGTCTGGAGAAGGAGGCAACACGAGAACGGGCCTTTTCTGTAGTGGCTCCCCGTCTGTGGAATGCTCTCCCCAGGGAAGTTTGCCTGGCGCCTTCATTATACACCTTTAGGCCCCAGGCAAAAACATTCATTTTTAACCAGGCCTTGGGTTGACCTGATCAACACCCCATACCCTTTTTAAATGTGGCTCTTTTTTGGGGGGGTATTATCGGGTTATTGCTTTTATTTAAATTTTATATGCTGTGATCTTTTTACTACTTTTTCACTCAGAGACCTCCTGGTATAGGGCGGTATACAAATTCAATTAATAATAATAATAATAAGTAAAGGCAGCTTTTGTTATTTGTTTCTTTAGAGGTCCAGGAATCTGTATGGCTTACACATTGATTGCTGAGTGCTCCCTATGCCCTATATAACTTCCAGTTCTCAAGCCAGTCATTTTTGTACACCTATGGCTGCTCACCTCCACTCTCCACAAGTCCACTACCTTGTATTTCAGATAGAGTTTGTTTTTGAACACCCAAACCAAACACCAGTTGTATGGCTACAACAGGGTTTTCAACCAGAGCTTGGCCTCCTTTTTTTGTCTTGTTCAAACATCATCTGTACTGTGAATCCACTCTCCCCACCCTCCCCATACTGGGATAGTGCAAGTGATCTTACAATTGTTGTGAGAATTATAGGGATGTGGGTGGCGCTGTGGTCTAAACCACAGAGCCTAGGGCTTGCCAATCAGAAGGTCGGCGGTTCGAATCCCCACGACGGAGTGAGCTCCTGTTGTTCGGTCCCTGCTCCTGCCAGGCTAGCAGTTCAAAAGCACGAAGTGCAAGTAGATAAATAGGTACCACTCCGGCGGGAAGGTAAACGGCGTTTCCGTGTGCTGCTCTGGTTCGCCAGAAGCGACCCGGAAGCTGTATGCCGGCTCCCTCGGCCAGTAAAGCGAGATGAGCACCACAACCCCAGAGTCATCCATGACTGGACCTAATGGTCAGGGGTACCTTCACCTTTACGGCACATGAAGGTCTTTGGACTTTTTAAAGCACTCTACAAATGTCAAGTGTTGGGCTGTAGCATGATTACATACAGTAAAGCTTTGGTGGAGTCTGACATAGTCAGTGCTCTAGAGATGCTTTAAGAGCGCTCTGCGGAGTTGGTGCTTGCATAGTACCTGACAAGCTTATTCTTAAATCTCCCATGTGCCACGTGGTTCATGCAGGCACAACCAAAAGCACAAGCCTGCACAACTGAGGGAAAGAAAACAAGACAGACAACGCTACCTGGAATCTTTTCTGGGAGAGGCTCTGATGGAACCTCTGGAAGATCTATCTGTTCCTGCAAGAAAAGAAGTCACACTGTGAAACAAATGTTCTGGGGATAACAAGCAACTCTAAACCAGAACTTCCAAGCGCATAGGAAGGAGTGCAGCTCCCTGTACCACCTCAGAAGCTGAGAATTTGGCTGGGCTCTAGAGCTTTGGTTCTGGGTTACTAACAAGATTCTAGCAGCACTTTTGCTTCCTTGGCGAGTTACCCTGATTCATCATGTTGGGTGGCAGCTATTGGTCTGGGAATATAACTGTGTCAATCTATTCATTCATTTACTTAATGGATTTATATCCCATTTTGAGAAAGTCCTCCACAACACGACTTATATCATGTTTACAATATGGAATCAACATTAACCGTGGAATCAATGCCAGCAACAGGACCACAATCCAAACTCCAATAAGCAGCTACTCTCTATGAGTCACATTAAAAGCTTTGGAAAAGATAAAGGTCTTTAAGCCCTCTTTAAAGGATACAAGATATGGGGTCTGTCTGATCTCCAAGGAATCAAATTCCATAACTGCCGGGCCACCATTGTGCCTTAGTCTGAGCACCTGCCAGCTTAATTGCTTTCACTGGCAGACACTGAAGCAGGCTATCTGACAAAGATCTCAAGATATGGGCAGGGCAGTATGAGTGTAGGTGGTCTTTTAAGTAATCCAGTTCCAGACAGCTCAGGGCTTTAAAGGTAATAACCAGAACTCTGAATTGGGTCTGCAAAAGCTTTGGCAGCCAGTGCAACTGTTACAAAACCATTTACCGTATTTTTTGCAACATAACACTCACTTTTTTCCTCCTAGAAAGTAAGGGGAAATGTCTGTGCGTGTTATAGAGCGAATGCCTACGGATGGCGGGGGGATCTGCTGCAGTCGTGAGCAGAGGATCCATGGTTCCCCTTCCTTCCCTCCGCCGTGGCTCGCTTTGAAACAGCAAAGCGGGAGAAGAGCCGCTAAGTGGGGAGGAGAGAGGGACAGAGAGCCTGCTTCTTTAAAGGAGCAAAGCGGGAGAGGAGAGGAGCCTGTCCGGTTGGTTCCTTTAAAGCAAGCAGGCTCTCTGTCCCTCTCTTCTCCCCACTCAGCTCGCTACATAGCAGCAAAGTTTTTCAGCTCGCTAAGCTGGGGATGAGCGGGGAGGAGGGAGAAAAGCAGAGCCTGCTTGCTTTAAAGGAGCAAAGTGGGAGAGGAGAGGAGCCTTCTCCCCTTATACCCCTCTTCTGCATTATTAGCAGCATCCTTCTCCACACACCCCACGCGTGCTCCTTGTCCCTTGAGTGCTTTTCCTTCCCTCCCCACTTAAAACGTGGTTACAAAGCACGGATCCACATGGATCCTCAGGATTTTTGCACTGGGTCACCCCAAATTCACCATCAGATCACATTACATGTCCATGGCTACAGCCTGCACCAAAAAAATCACGCACCCACTGTTGCCTGGGGGCTACAGTGGTGCAAAAACGTGGTTACAAAGCATGGATCCACATGGATCCTCAGGATTTTTGCACTGGGCTACTCCAAACTCACTGTCAGATCACATGTCTATGGCCACACCATGAACCACAAAAATCATACATCCACTGTTTCGTTTACAATATTTTTTTTCTTGTTTTCCTCCTCTAAAAACTATGTGCGTGTTATGGTCGGGTGCGTGTTATAGAGCGAAAAATACAGTATATTCTGATTGTCTGGCACCCACCAGTAATCAGGCAACCACATTTTGCGCTTGCTGCAGTTTATAATATGCTCATCTGTGCACTCTGATAAGCAATGGAATTTTGTGGAAAGCATCAAAAGACTAATATTTTGAATGCTTTACAATCACCACCAGATCGGTGGTGGAGTTGGATATTAGGCAGCAGGGGTCCCACAATTTTTGGCTTTGGCAGTCAACCCCAAAATTAGGACCACCAGGACCCTGCCACTCTCCTAGCATCAGACCTTGCTACATGAGGTCAGGGACAATTATTTATCCACTTTTCCATTTCCAAGCTTTCGTAGTTTTGGGGCTGTATTTCTTACATGACATCTGAATTAGAGGAGGTTGTGCACTGGTGCTTGGATGCAGTGGTGGGGTGGATGAGGGAAAATAAACTGAGCTTGAACTCTGGCAGCACAGAGACACTGGTTCCCGTGTGCAAGAAACTGATCAATTGCCTGCCCTGGATGGGTTTGTTGTCACATCGGGCAGATGACCCAACCATTCGCATAAACTGACATTTATTGCGTGAACGTAGTCTAATGGCTCAAAGTGAAGTTCCATCCCTTCTAAGAAGGGAGCCATAGCGGCAGGCCAGAATCTCCACCACAGATTGCATCCACGGAAGTAACTGGGGACACATGAATCTTCAGACACTAGCGTGGAAGAATCTTTCATTTGAAGGCGAAGAAAACAAAGGGTAAACCAAGGAAACATGTTGTAAAAGTTATTCAATACTGGCAGAATCCAGCATTCGCGATACTCAATGAACTTAAGCCCATACATTTCAATAGGTCAGCTCTGAGTACGACTTGGTTGGGTATCACCCTCTTTGTTTTTAAGCTTCTTTGGGAAGATTGGGCTGACCTCTTCAAGGCTTCAGAAAACATAAATGCAAGGCAGCTATAATAAGGACCCCTTATTACCTGCCAGGTATATAGGATGGATAATCCCGTCGCGTGAGATGAAAAATGTCCACTGCAAAATGTAGCCCAACAATGAATTACCAGTGTTGCTGATTAAACACTCACCTGAGTGATGGCATCTAATTCTGCTAAAATGGCATCTTCATCTTCTACAGTGAAGCTGCCAGCCAGCATTTCATCTATTTGCTGCAAAGGAAAAGGGCAGAATGCATGGTGAACACCAGAATAGCACCATATCCTTAAGCATTGTAAGATGAGAACATCTATGGGTCAGTGTAACATAGGAACATAGACCCAAAGCTACAAAATACTCCGCTGAAACCCAGACACTTGGCACTCAAGCTATATTCAACTCCCTCCCTCCTTCTATGACAGTCTTCTTGACATGAACAAATGTCATCTCTGACCTGTTTAAGGGGCAATGACGAAGAACAGTTTAGTCTCTAGGTTTGCAATGCAATATGTTAAAGCAAAATAGGGTCTCCACTCCTCTTCATAAGCAAGTTAGGTGGCACGATGGAAACACTTTCAAGCATCTAAGTGGGTGGAATTGCTGTCATACAAATATAAGAATGAAGCAGTGCAATGGTTAAAAGGATCTCCATGATGATACACAGGGACAATACATACCCTCTGGTATTCCACAGCTTCCTGGGTTTCATCCATGATCCTTTCCACTTCTTCTATTGACATAACCTACAGGAAAAGAAGGCTGGTCAGAAGAGATGTCCCAACCAGTGTCCCATATGAAATAGTCCCAAGGACCCTGGGCTCACACTCACCTGGTGCATCTTATTTAAACACTCATTACCAATTTTGAGGCCCTCAATCACTTTCATCTCAATTTGTGTGAATTCAATATCCTGGACCTGAAGGAAACAGAAGTCAACAGAGGGGGTCAGCGAGTGATGCATTTCATCAATATGTAGTAGGGAGAGTAGACAACTGCAGCCACAGTAGACAGTATGCTCTACATTCCACAGGCCACCACAGAGCCAAATGGAAGAGGAACAGACAAAACTGGCTTGCAGAACACTGCAGCACAGGCCGATATTACAGCTTAAAACATGACATTGCATTCGGAACTCAGCAAAAAACAAAACAAAACCAAAAAAACCTAACCCAAAACAAAACAAAATAACACTTTAAACATTCATGTTGTAATCCAAGATGTCCAACTAATGCTAAGTACTAAGACAGCTTGAATTAGAAGTTAAGCACAAGTAAACAAAATTTAGCAGCATACAGATATTACAGCTGTAAAAGCCCGGAAAACAATGACACTGGGTGCCTCCATTACCATGCGTTCCAGGTTGCTAATTTGGTTTTCTGTCTTGTCCAGCAGTTGCTCTTGATACCGTTTTTTCTTCAGCAGAAACTTTGCTTTCCTAGGAGGAGAAAAAAAGCACCGGCTGTAGAAAACAATCCTTCAAACCAAAGCAATTTCTGCCTTGCCTTGCTGATCTTGATTTTTTTAAATAATAAAAAAACCATAGATTCCAATATTCTCAGAAGCAAGGAATAAGTTAAAGATAGTCAGATAGGCTGCCTCAGATCCAGAAGTCCCATTTTTAGTTATTATGACCAGCAATAACTAATATGTATATTCTCTACTTACTTGACCCTTTAAAATTTTTATTAAAGCTCGCGGCCATCACAATATTTAATTTTTCAATTATTAATTTTGCAACATGTGAAGTGCTTCCTTCTGTCTGACTGCAGGCTTAGGGCAATCCATTTCATTAGATGCCTAAGTCCTGGCATTGTGAGGAAGATTCGTTATTTCTCTGCTGGTTGTGTCACATGAATGAAGCTGCCCATTGTGTGACCGATCATCAAAAGGACTCCTCTCTCCAGCAGGATGCAATAAAGGAACATTTTAAGAATGCTCAGTAGTACCCGTTTAGAAATTTTAGCAAAGCTTATACAGCTTCAAATCACTCTTCTCACTGGAGTTAGGAGCACAGGAAGTGGCCTTATACAAAGTCAAAACAGTGATCTATCAAACTCAGTACAGTCTATACCAGGAATGGGGAACCTGTGGTCCTCCAGATGTTGTTGGGGTTATTTCTATCATTCATATACAATAGCCATAGTTTCTTGGACCAATGGATATGCTAGATCAGGCATAGGGAAACTCCAGCCCTCCAGAAGTTTGGGACTACAATTCCCATCATCCTTGACCACTGGTCCTATTAGCTAGGGATGATGGGAATTGTAGTCCCAGACATCTGGAGGGCTGGCGTTTGCCTATGCCTGTGCTAGATGTTGGGAATCAGAGTCCTACAACATTTGGAGGGCCACTGGTTCCCCACCCTGGTCTACTCTGACAGGCAGCAGATTTCCTTAGAGACAGGATTATTTCCTTGCCCTATCTGGCCATGCCAGAGTTTGAACCTGGGACCTTGTGCAGGCTACTCCACTGAGCTACAGCCTTTCCCTTATGTGTTATATCAATTCCTGGTACATTTAGTACCAAAGTAGCTCCTAGCCACGCCATGTTTCACTAGAGATGCCAAGGACTGAGCCTGGAACCTTATGCATGAAAATATTCATTTTAGCACTGCGTTATTATGCAGGCTGAGCCAAGGTAGTTAGAACGCTTCACCAGCAACAGCAGTATTCAGCTTAAATATTAAACCATGGCCACTGAGAGATTTAAGGTTTCTACATGATGCACCTCAATTTCCTCCAGGGATGCACTTGTAAAGAAAGCTTCCCATAGGCAGTTTCAAGTGTGGAAGTAAATGCTTCACGTGTTGAAATAATGGGAATCATTTAGCCGTTATCAGTGGAATGCAATATGTCAATTCAAGCTTTACCCATACAAGAGAGGCCACAGGGGCAGTTATGGTTCATCTCACTGAGAAGACCTTAACTTTCTGAACCAGCCCATAAACTGAGCACCTCCGTATGGAAAGGGTGCAAAGTGACTTGGAATGACTTACTCTTTCTTGCCATCTTTTAATAGTTGCCGAGCAAATGCCCTCTCCCGCTCCAGCTGCAGCGATATCCTTTTCTGATATTGCTTTAGTTTGTCCCGCTGCTGTTTCAGTTGCTACAGGAGAAAATAAATTGGGCATTAGAAGGTGCACCAACAAGCCTTGCTAGGATGACCACTGGAAAAGAGAAACCAAAATCTCCCTTTAAGGCAGACCTGCTTATAAGCCCAGCAGCCTGATCCCTCAAACCTACTTTGTTATTCCCGTTTTTGGCTTGCTGCAAAAACAGCAGAAGAAGCTTAAAGTTCCACCTTGCAAAGTTAAACACCAACTCACTGCCTTTGGCTCTCAGGTAAGAAACATCGTACCTCATGGGAGAAGTGGGAGAGAGACAAAAAAAGTTTTAGAGTGCTTTACCATGTGTTTCCTCCTTCAAGTTGGTCAAATTGCTTTTGCTCTCAGGCCGCAGCATAATAAAACTAGCAGCATCTATCTGATGATATTCCAGACTTACAAAACAGTATGTGGAATTCAGATTTGGGGCACAATGTTCAGCTAGTGGAGCATAGGGATGTTGTATTCCCAGGGCAATAGCTAGTGGAGGGGGGGATGTTCAGCTAGATGTGAAACCTTTGACCCTCCAGATGTTGCTGGACTCCAGCTCTCATCATCCTTGATGATTGGCCATGCTAATAACTAAAAGGCCATGGATTTCTCACCACTGAGACGCAGACTGGGCATTTATACCTCTTGTTAGTATGCAAACTAAATGAGACTATTAAGAACTAAATGAAAAAGTTGGCAAGCAGCTGGTTTTAAGTAAGAACTGTATTAAGGCAAAGACTTCAGTAGTTAAGGGACAGACTCACTGCAATGCTTTACTGAGTACAGTTCCAATTCCGATGGCTACATCTAGCTTTTGACACCTCTACATTATTAGGGGCACCCTAAATATTAGAATGGATACTGCAGAGTAACCCTGAGACTCTGAACTTAAATTCAGTGCTGAACGCAAATCTTCAAAAACGTGACAAGTGAGTAGCCACAAGGTTCTGTTTTTTGGCTAATGTTGTTCAATGTCTTTATAAATGTCTTGGTCGAAGGAATTGAGGGGGTACTTATCAAATATGCCAATGACACCAAACTGGGAAGGGTAGCTAATACTGCAGAAGACGGAATCGGGGTTCAATTGACCTTAACAGATTGGAGAACTGGACCAAAAGTGAATTTTAGTAGGGACAAATGTAAGGTTCTGCACTTAGTCAGGAAGAACCATCTGCACAGAGGTTGGGTGGCCATTTGTCAGGTATGATCTAGTTGAGATTCCTGCACTGCAGGGGGTTGGACTAACTGATCCCCCCCCCCAGGCTCCCTTCCAACCTGTCAACTTTTCCCTTTTCTTGTGAGGAATCCTATTAGGAATAAGGGAATTTCCCTTTAAAAGGGGGAAACATTGACAGCTATGCTTCCAACTCTACAGTTCTATGATTCTATGATAGGGGATCCTGAGTGGAGCCGATCACTGCTGAAAGTGAGACTGGCAATGGATGCCAAGATAGGAAGCATTTTCAAATGTGCTTGGAGAAAAATGCAGAAAACAAATCCACAGCTGGAATACACCAGATGCAGTGGCGAAATAAAGTGGTGTGATGACAAAGCAGCCAATCCCTAGTATCTCCAGATAAGGGCTGTCTGAAATCCTGGAGAGCTGCCACAAGTCTATATACACCAGGGATGGGGAACCTGTGGCTTTCCAGATGTTGCTGGGACTCCATTAGCATGTTGGATGGTCCAAAATTATGGGAGCTGGAACCCAACATCTGGTGTGCCACAGGTTCCCCATCTCTGGTGCAGTTCAAGGAGTTGGAATGTGACAGGCTGAACACAGGCTCTTTGTGTTGAAAACACTGGTCTTTCTGACACTCAGAAAACTCTTCCACACCATAGACATGGTATTCAATCATTTACAGATACCATGGGAGCACAATCCTAAACATGCTTGTTCATAAGTCACTAACAGTTCAAAGGGACTTAAGAATACAATCCTACTCCCTTCTCCATGTTGATGAATGGGGGTTGGTGAGCAGGATGGCACACAAAATCCTCTCCATCAGCAGGAGAAAGCACTGTGGGGGTGGGTGTCTCTAATGTAGTGGAGGCCTCAGCTTTCTCCATACTCCTGGAGATTGTTTTCCCACTAGCAAAGGGTTCTGAAAACTTTTCAGTAACAGTGTTTAGGATGCAGCTTGCACAACTGCTCTCCTATTTCACAAACTATGGTCAAGGATAGGGAACACATTTGTGGCTAAGATATTGACCTAGATATTCCAGCTCTATATAAATGATATTCCAGTGGAATCTCAAGACTTCACCAGACAGAGCTCCCATCATTCCCAAAGCACTGTGACTTTATACCCTCAGTCTGGGGGCATCTTATTTCAACCTCGAAACTTCTCATTCTACATAGTGTGCTACTATTTTATAATAGCCTTCCAAATGAACCCCCCCCCCCCAAATGACGAGGCTGCATTTCTATCCTGGCTGCGAAGAAGGGAGAAGCATAGTGCTGATAATGACATGGTTGCAGGTTTGATCCGTGTATACGACAGCTGCATATTCTTGCATTGCAGGGGGGTTGGACTAGATGATCTACAGGGTCCCTTCCAACTCTGATTCTATGATACTCCTCCACAGACAGTAAGGAAATGCAGGCAAATAACCTCTTCAGTAGTGGTTTTTATAACAGACTGGTGGAAGAGAGGCAGCACAACCTGTCCCTCTCCCAGCAGCTTGGTCATGGGCAAATAGGCTTTCCTTCCTCCACAGCTTGCCTGGGAACTAGGCAGGCTGGCAGATGGAGCACTGAAGCCCCTTCTCCAACTGCCCGACCCCACGAACTCGCCTGCATGCAATTCCTGGTCACCTATGGCTGTTACTAGGCAAGCTGTTAAATTCAAGGCTGATTTTTTTCTATAGTGCTTTGCTGCTCTTAATATAAATACTCCGCCTGGGAGTATTTCCACCTGACTGCCAAAGTAATCCGGAACACGACAGCCACCACCACGACTTCCGTTCGTTTGCTCGGGTTTCTTTCTTTTTCTTTTTAGAGAGAAACAGAAAGTGTAGCCAGTCCGAAAAGAAGCCAAAGTTCCTTTAACTTTCAACAGCTGTGTTAAGAAAGAGATCTTTGGCTTTCCCACCCCATTTAGGAGAAACAACACCTGCCAAAAATCACTTTTCTTCCCCACCCAAACAAACTGCCAATAAATAAATAAATACAGGGGAATTGGGCATGTCACATACGGTGGAAACATGGGTTTACGTGGGATAAATGCGGGTCCGGGCTCTGTCAAGGCACAGGGGCTCCTTTGCAGCACACATTTGCTGGCTACCTTGCAGCCTTTTGCACTCAAGTCACAGCAACCTGCTCCTGCTCCTGCAGCCGCCGCCTTCCCTGCCTCCCAGCCCCTTCTTTGCTCTCACCAGCACGGCCTTATCTTGCTCGGTGACCCGGCTCCGCCGCTTGCGCCCGAACAGATTCCCCATCGCCCCGGCCCCGCCCGCGCGGCCCTGGCCTACATTGGCCCCACCCCGGCCCCCTCGGCTTCCGTACGGCGGCCGCGGAGGCTCCCGCTTTGCCGGAACGCGAACGCGGAAAGGAGGCGAGGAGCGAAAGTGACGGCTTTGGCTCATAGAGCTAAGGAAAAAAGTAGAGGAGCCCGCCGCCGCCGCCGCGTTTCCTTTGTAGGGAAGCTTCCGGGTGATCATACAGACTAGCTCGCGGAACGCGCCTGACACTTTTTTTGTATAAGTCTGCATGCCCATGGCTTCCCCCGAGAGAATCCTGGGAGCTGTAGTTTAACGGTGCTGGGAATTGTAGCCTACCCAGATGCTTGAGGAAATTTTAATCTGAAAAAATGTTTAGGGTACTCTTATTTTCCTACTCCTATTGAAATACTGCCCCTCAATGAGGCCAAACTTAGATTCACCTTACTACAGACTCTCCTTCCTTTTCAAAAAGTCTGGGGCTGAACTTGAAGTGGACATGTACAATGCAGTTGTTCTAATCAGCTGAGGAGTAAAGCTTTGGTACTCTCCTGCCCCCAGGCTTAGTGTACCCCTGTGTCCCCCCAGAAAAAAGCACTGTGTGTGTGTCACTGTTTTATGTTTTGTAAACCACTTTGAGAGGTTTTTTTATTTTAAAAAAATCAAGTGGTGTATAAATTTTATTAAATAAAATAAACTTCTGCATACCACCGAACTCTCGCTCTGGATTTGAAGGGTGCTGACTGACAGGATAATTAAAGGGACTGACATTTACTACAACCGGAAGGGTGTTTTATTGCTTGGGGTTTGGGGCATGAGCCCCGGCAAGGTAAAAAGGTAAAGGACCCCTGGACGGCTAAGTCCAGTCAAAGGCGACTATGAGGTGTGGCGCTCATCTCGCTTTCAGCCTGAGGAAGCCAGTGTTTGTCCACAGACAGCTTTCCAGGTCATGTAGCCAGCATGACTAAATCGATACTGGCACATGGAGAAGGCAGAGCGCATGGAAACGCTTTTTATCTTCCCATCCCAGCGGTACCTATTTATCTATTTGCACTGGTGTGCTTTTGAACTACAGTGGTACCTCTGGTTACGTACTTAATTCGTTCCAGAGGTCCGTTCTTAATCTGAAACTGTTCTTAACCTGAAGCACCACTTTAGCTAATGGGGCCTTCCGCTGCTGCTGCGCCGCCGCTGCACGATTTCTGTTCTCATCCTGAAGCAAAGTTCTTAACCCGAGTAATATTTCTAATTAACCCGGTAATATTTCTGGGTTAGCAGAGTCTGTAACCTGAAGCATATGTAACCTGAAGTGTATGTAACCTGAAGTACCATTGTACTAGGTTGGCAGAAGCTGGGACATAGCAACGGGAGCTCACCCCATTGTGAGGATTCAAACCGCCGACCTTCCCGTCAGCAAGGCTTGGTGGTTTAGACCACAGGGTCACCTCTAACCTGAACCATTAAGGCTGAAACATGCTTATTTTGTCGTAAACCTTAGGCCACAGGCAAAAACATTCCTCATTAGCCAGGCCAAATATAATCTATGGCCTGTGAAAGTGTGGGGGAGTGGACTGTTATTATGATGATGGTGATTAGGCTGTCTGTCATTATGTTTTTATTATGTTTATATCACTGATGTTCTGTATTTATGTGTTTTTAATGTTGTACACTGCTCTTGGATCTTCTGATAAAGGGTGGTAAATAAATTGAAATAATAATAATAATAATAATAATAATAAACTCAGTGATACTTACCTCTGAGCAAACATGCACAGCATCAGAGGAGGCAAAGATGCCACAAGTCTTGCAAGCGGCAGCTCATCTTCTCCCTCTCAGTTTGGGGGGCAGTGTACCAAACTGGCACAAACATTGTCAGAAACATGTTTTGTTTCTGAGTGGAGAGGCTCACACTCGGCCACAGCTACATTAAAATGCTGTGGTCTCTACATGGACCTCTATAAGCATCTATTACTTCCAACCTGGAGAAAGTGATGGAGAAGAACTCCCATTAGATACAGATTTAGATACAGATATAGAGTGAGAGAACTTGAGCCCCTGTCCTGTCAGTATCAACTACATCCACGAGCTAGCCAACTAACAACATCGGGAGGGGAAAGAGGTAGCGCTTATCTCTAAGCAGATAGGAAAAGGGACCAATAGGAGAGAGGCGAGTTTTGTCTCGAGGCTTTCGGTGAACAGCTGGTGATTCCCACGCCTCCCACACGCCCGTGTACCCGCGCCATCTTCTGTTGGCTTCTCAGAGTGGTTTGCAAAGTACGAGAGTTTGGTTTATTTTTTGGACACTCCCTCCGCGCTAAAAATAACTCTTTTTTTAAAAAAATGCCTCCTAGTTTCTTCCTCATTTCCCCCAACCCCAACCCTACGCCGGGTTTATTCCTGCCTTCTGTGAGTTTGCAAACAGCAGCGCCTCCGTGAGAGAACCTTTTCAGTCCTTCAGCCAAGGACTAATCGAGAAGTTCATTTGTTTAGGCTTGACGTAGAGACTGGGATTCACTGTGTTACCACCAATCTCTATAGTTGTGAGTGGCCTTTGGCTTATTGTGTATACATTTTTCAGCTTCATATAGACTCATATGGCTTATACTGTATGTACTTGTAGTTCTTGCATTTTATGGGCATTTGGCTCCACCCTTTAAAAGAGGGATGTATGTGTCCGTAAGGGCAGCTGTGGTCAGGGAACACATGCTCTGCGTTCAGAAGGTCACTAAGGGCAGATAATCTTCTGGAGACAGACATAAAAGAGCCAAATTGTGGTCTGTGAAGCTTTGCAGTGGGTTACAGCAGTGCCAGATTTACGTACTGTATAAGCTAAACAAGCTATAGCTTAGGGCCCCACTCTCTTGGCCCCTCCAAAATCCCCCCCCCCACTATTAATATACTTCTTCTTAATTGTATTTCAGTTCAACAATTACTTTGATAAAATACATATTTTTTATGTGCAAATGGCTTTAGATACCTATTAGGTCCATACATTACCATATAGCATATATTCAACACAAAAAACAGCAACAATTTGTTGTTGACAAAGGACAGCTGGACATATAAAGGGCCCCATTACCTTCAGTAGCTTAGGGCCTCATCAAACCTAAATCCAGCCCTGGGTTACAGTGTAGTATTCTGCACACTCAGCACATGTTTTTTAATAAATGAAGCCTCCTAGGTCCACCCAACGTTACCTGAACTCTGGAGTCTTATTTTACCAGGCATGGCTAAACCTGCAATTGCAACATGGTTGGTTGCAAATCATCCCCAGAAGGTTAAGTGAGTAGAGTTGCCCCTCAGCTGTTATTATGTCTAACCTGTCTGCATATTTTTAAATGGTGGTAATAATAATAATAATAATAATAATAATAATAATTTATTTATTTATACCCCACCCATCTGACTGGATTTCCCCAGCCACTCTGGGCGGCTCCCAACAGAATATTAATAATAAGAAAGCAACAACATCAAACATTAAAAACTTCCCTAACCAGGGCTGCCCATATGAATGTTGGTTGCACTTCTTCCTTTTCCTAGTGGCAACTTGATTTAAAGCCCAGCCCCTGACAGCTGCTTAGCCCGGAGAGTTTTGCTTATTTCTTTCCTGTCTTTGTGCCTTTAAATGAACATGGCGATATGTAGTGCCTGTGCAATATTGGGCAAATATTATCAGGTTCACAATACTCCCAATTAAATATAGACAAATGTTCTCTTATAGACACTAGGAACTTGAACTTACAAGTGGCCTCTTCAAAAATATTAGACGCTTGTGCATTATAATGAAGTATTATATTTTTTTAAAAAATGTTTATAATTTGCTCCAGTTCGTGCAGTTATGCAAAGGACATATACCCTTTCTTCCGTTAGGTGGCAGAATGGATCCATCATCATAACCTTTGAAATACCAACTACTGCATCTCAGAAGCTGGAGTTTACTGCAGTGCTATTTGTAGCAAAGAATGGATCTGTGGCTCAGATGGACAAGAAATGGCATATCTGCCAACATAGATACAAAACCAACAAATTGTAAGTTTGCATAAAGGAATACAATGAAGTATATCAATAAGGAAGTCCCAGGATGGTGCATATATCTGTGAATATTTGTTGCATTGGCAGGTGTGAAACAGAAGTTAATTCATATTGATTTAAAGCTTTTTCCACCAGATATCATTAGGAGGTTGAGATAATGATTGAATTCAAGCAGTCAGCATTGGCCTCTGAAGCCATTGGAGACTGAACTTATGGGGGGCTGTGCATATCCCAAAATTCTGCATTAGTGCAGGAAAAACAAACCCAAACATGGATTTTGGTATTGAGTGTGCAGAATTAAACATCCTGGGAATTGCAGTGTTTTTATAACAAGCAAGTTTCTAGTCCTTATTGGGAGTGATGAAAGGATTGTCTGTAAGTGGGCAGGAGCTGCTGAAATCTCCAGGTTAGAGCAGCAGAGCTTCAGTGTCGGGTGCAGTCCTTTTTTTCCTCCTTGTGAAGCAAAATAAATAGTGCAAAGCACATCAATATACAGAAATATGCTTAGAATTCAGGATAACGAGGTAGATAATTTTGAGTTTTGGAGACAGCACAGCCCTGAAAATGCCTACTTGCCTTCCATGTTACTTTATGCACAGAGGACCTAGGAAAAAGATCCTTTAAAATTATCAAGGATCCAATATCCTGCACAAACTCCAACCCATGTGCTTTAGGAAAAGAGGTAGAGGAAGTATGTGCCTTCCTGTGGCTAGGTGAACTGAGGCTACAGCCATATTTGCATTTATGTGAAAACTACCAGTTAGCGATGGTGATGCATGAAGATGCTTCCATTGGCAAGTGACCATGAGTGGTTTCTTATACATTTTTATTACGTAGCCCTAATTCTTCTCACTGCTGTAAATCAGTAGTACAGTGATAGCTTGGGTTACAAACGCTTCAGGTTACATGTTTTCGGGTTGTGCACTGCACCGAACCCGAACGGGTTACTTCCGGGTTTCGGTGCTCACACATGCGCAGAAGCGCTATATCGCACTTTGCGCATGCGCAGAAGTGCCGAATCGCGACCCGCCCGTGCACAGACGCAGTGCCGTGGGTTGTGAACACTGCAGGTTATGAACGTGCCTTCTGCACGGATCACGTTCGCAACCCAAGGTTCAACTGTAATGCAGGTGGTAAAGACCAAAGAACAGCAACTCTTACCTTTTCCCCACCCCATCCCAGTGTCTGCTGTGGCTGCCTTTCTGTGTCGTTAAATAGTGCAAGAAGCAGCTTTGCCATAAAAATGGTGCTCAGAGGATATTATGTACACAGTATATTCTAGAGCAAGCTGAGGTGAAAGATCTCATACATATAAACAACCAATGCGGAGATTTCCAGGCTGCAAGATATGATTGCACAACTGGGAAATTAGCCTGAGATTGCAGCTGACACCGCTGTGCGGTTGTGGCTCAGCAAACCCTTTATTTCTAAAGTCACAGTTCTCTGCTCAGGGCAGGAGCTTTGCTCCAGAGTTACGGACGTGTGACTTCCATGTGCATTCTCAGCACAGTTGTTCCAAGGCTGACAGCCCTGTTCAGTTTCTCTCTTGTCTCCAGCAATAGTGCCACCTAGTGTATCTGACAGGAAACAGTTCAAGGTGTAGGCAAACAAAATTTCAATTTGGTTTTTGGAAATGTAAAGTTTGGAAATAATGCCAGATGCTTTTAATTCATCAAGAGTTCTAACTTTCCGTTATCTGTGTTTGAATGCCAATTTGCTTATTTTATGTACAGTATTGTGCTTGTGGCAGTGAAGCCTTCTGCACTGATTTTCCCCCTCGGGGAAAGTTTTCAGAATGCTTGCAGTCCATCTTCCATGAGAGAAGTGAAAGTTCGCTGTTTGGCTGGGATTAAGATTTCAAACAGACCTTAGAGACAATTGTAGCTTTCTTGTGGGATAGACTTGAGGACTGGGACAAGATTCTGGGAGATAGGGAGGTTCAGGAACAGGGAAACCAGAGACAAGTTGGGTGGTGCAATGAAGTTCAGCCTAGGCAACAGTTGAGAAACAGGAATGGTAAGGGAAGACTTCATTGCAGGTTTTGTCCCAAGGGAGAGGCACGTGAAAGTTTTTCTGTCTCTGATATTAAAGAATAATAATTTTATTTATTTATATCCCACCCTACCCAGCCAAAGCCGGGCTCAGAACGGCTAACAACAGTAAAAATAACACAGTTTACATAAAATCATAATCAATTAATTGAAATACATTCTAAAATCAATTCATTCTAAAATCAATTCAGAGTCAAATTAATGGCAACCATTGGGCTAGAGTTCTATACGGATTACAAAAGGACTGTGCCTCAGCCAAAGGCCTGGTGGAACAGCTCTGTCTTGCAGGCCCTGCGGAAAGATGTCAAGTCCCGCAGGGCTCTAGTCTCTTGTAACAGAGCGTTCCACCAGATCGGGGCCACAGCTGAAAAAGCCCTGGCTCTGGTTGAGGCCAGCCTAACCTCTCTGTGGCCCAGGATCTCCAAGATGTTTTTATTTGAAGACCGTGGGACATACCGGGAGAGGTGGTCCTGTAGGTACGAGGGTCCTTGCACCTTGACTGAAGTAGGGGCACTGTTTGCTGCTTAGTCATGGCCAGGAAGATGTATTGGGCTACTGGTGGTGAATATACAGGGTTAAAGGAAGGGGGTGGGCAAGGAGAAAACAGGAAGAAGGCAAACTTTCACACTGAAGCTGGAAGAGGCTGTGCAGTACTGTCAAAGAAGCACATTGGCCAGGGAGACTTGGCAGGACAAGGCCTATGCAAACACTTGGTTTAAGGATTGTATGTCTGATATAGGTTCTTCATAAGGCAATCATTAGGGCTCAGGCATAATTTGATGGAAGCCGGGGACATCACAACTATATTGGTTTTTTTGAGACTTGGCATTCTAATCTGAGACTGGGCTTTAGTTTGGTGTTCAAGTGGACTAAAGGAACACAAAAGCTGGAAGGGGAAGCAAGCCAGGTTTGGTCTCTAGCTTATACTGAGCTAGAAATGTGACGCTTTACCACGGCTACCCCACATGCTATTACCTGGGCTAATGGAAGCTGTCACTTGTTGTTGATTACTGCCTGTCTGCCTGCCAAAATGTGTATCACACGCTAAGGGGACAATTGATTCTTCAGATCATATGAAATGCCTGAGCAAATAAAAATTGAACAAACAGTCTATCACTGTCTGTAAGTTAGGATGATAAGCCTCAGAAACTCATACGTGTGCATATGCTAGCTATCAGGTAGAGGTGTGAGAGAGTGTGTGTGTCTGTTTAGGAGAAGCAGAGAACGTTGAGCTTCACCTGATTTTGCTACCAACAGAACTCTCTGCTGTCTCTGCTCCTCCTTCTTGTCTGCAAAATGCTTCAGGAGATCTTTCCAATGCAAAATGCAGTTTGAATTATATCGAAGTGTTGCATCAGTTTCTCTCTGATTTTCGGATATCAGAACCAACCCAAGTATGGAATCAAGATTAACAAATCTGATAAAGCAAATGTCAGTTTTGCTTAACATTCAGTGTGAACGTGGAAGTGAGTCGCGTTAAAATATTCTTTTTGTCAGCATGCGTTTGTGCTGCTCCCACCTGTATCCACATACTGGTTCCAGTCTTCATTTCCCACTTTTATTCAGACTTCCTTCCTGCATCTCTTTCCACAGTTTCTATTTATTGCTCTGAACCATTTCCCTCTGCCTCTTCAGTTTCTACTCTCAGTCACCTTGACCTCTTCTGCCTCTCTTCCTTTCAGTGTGAACTTGCTGACTCTCCTACCAGTGACCACTTTCCTCAATCCTCTGCCCTCTATTCATGCTTTTTAAGGCTCCTGTTTCTTTTATCGCATTGTCCTGCTTTCTTCTCCAACTCTTAAGAGATGCTGCATTGCTAGAAATGCCTGATATTAATTGAATTATTGTGCTCCTGGGAAGGTTTCAATCAAAAGCTATTCTGCAGTTCACTCTTTTAATAACATTTTGTGCATATTTTCTTTGCTTTCCTTCTCGCTCGCTCTGGTGCTTTCTGCTGTTTTGCTTTTTTCCCTTCTCTTCCTTGTGCTCAAGAACTCTGCATAACCAATGACAAAAGACTGCAATTTCAGCCCAAGGTTGTATAGATAGCAGCAAACTAAACTATGGATTATGCCTTACTTGAAACTCATGCTGAAGGCGATTGCTACTAGCAGGAAATTATTAGTGCCAAAGGGGAGAAGCAATGTATATTCTTGCCCATTAGCAGGTTCAAGCAAAGTGATTGGTGAAGTTAATAAGAAGAGAAAGCACCAAACTTATTAGATTGCAGCCTCTTAAAGAAAGCATATAATTGGCCATTCCTTCAGATCTTGCCTGAGAGCCAAGAATGAATGTGAAGTGCTAACACACCTTGATTTCCCACTAAGAGAGGCATAAATGGAGCCAGAATCAAATTTGGGCAAGGACAATATCCCTTAATTTGATTTGTCCTTTTACCTTGAGAGAGGCATCCAAGAAGAGTTGACACATGAGAGCCAGAATTCAGGTCAATAAGATACTCTTTTCAGATCAGCATCAAGTCAAACACACCTTGCAGACTGCTTGCATTACAATGGCACCTGGGACACAAGGGTAGCTGCTCAGAGTCATTCTGTCGGGCTCCGGAGAGTAGGATGAGCAAAGCATATGTTTGGAACTTGAAGGAAATTACTGTAATGTGGTCAGAGAGGCTGGTGTTGAAGAGAACACAAGAATGGTGTTGCATGGACTGAAGCAAAGGACAGATAACCCAAAACTAAGCATTGACTAACAGTTCATTGGCATGACGTTTGAGGGTTTGGTAATATAGTGTAAATGACTGACAAAGGATAGCTGCATGCTTCCCAGCCAGATATAACTACAAATTTGTTCTGCCTGACTAACACCACTGTATTGGCCTTTGTTTGATATAGGCCACTCAAACTGCTATGTCTTTGGGTGTGGCCCCCCCAAACTGGTGAAACGGTTAGAATGGCTTTGACCGCTTATACAACTGTTGTCCAGAAGAATTTGCAATTTCTGTGCAGTATGGAAACTGGCTGGAGCAGAGGCGCTGAGTTGCACCCAACATTTTTTGGGGGGGTGGGCTGTTACGCATTTGTGACATCACACATATGCCACTGCTGCCCTTCAACCTAGACAGGCTGACTCAACTGTTACTCAGAAGTGAGTCCTTCTGACTTCAATGGGAAATACACCCAGGTAAATGTAATTATAGCCTACTGGGATGCAGGTGGTGCTGTGATCTAAACCACTGAGCTTCTTGGGCTTGCCGATTGGAGGGTCGACAGTTCAAATCCACATGACGGGGTGAGCTCCTGTTGCTGTCCCCCAGCTTCTGCCAACATAGCAGTTCGAAAGCATACCAGTGCAAGTAGATAAATAGGTACCGCTGTGGCAGGAAGATAAACGGTGTTTCCATGTGCTCTGGCACTTGTCACAGTCCTCCGTACACTAGTAGCGGTTTAGTCATGCTAGCCACATGACCCAGAAAACTGTCTGTGAACAAACGCTGGTCCCCTTGGCCTGAAAAGCGAGATGAGCATAGCACCCCTTAGTTACCTTTGACTGGACTAACCATCCAGGGCTCCTTTACTGTACTTTTACCTTTTAATTATAGCCTCAATTTTGCTTTAACTCAGAAAGATGGTGGCAACCAACTTAGCTAACACATGTAAGAGAAGTAGCTGCAATATTTTATTCTGTAAATTTTATAAGTGATGCAAAAAGGAGCAGGCAGCAAAGGAAATTGACCTTCCAGCTCTTAACAATGATAATATACCTGCCATAGAATTCTAGCCCATGCTGAACTGTTTTTCTAACTGAAGCCACTCAAACACTTTGGAGCCTACTGTAATTACAGCAGTGGGCAGGTTCTTGGTTGGGCAAACCAGGAACACAAAAACCCTGCTACAAATGAGAAACAAAATTATTCCGAAATATATCCACCTTTGTGCATAGTAACAGAGGAGAAGGAGTATCTTATGGGTGCAGAGTTTGTAAAATATGGGTCAACACAGGGAGTCTAAATCCTATTATTCACATTAGCCAAGGAGCAATCTTGTTTCTACTTTTCATTTACTTTTCCTATTAAGGCAAGGGTTGTCAGACTTGGACATCTCTCACAGCACTTTCTTACGGCTATAACTTGTTTCTTTCACAGTACTTACAAGGCTGTCATGGTTGAAAGTATGTGCTTTAATTTCTTCCAGTATTGATCCATTCTATGAGCAGAGTAAGGGATTTTCAGTAAATTGCTTAATAACAATGAAGTGCAAAATGCTGATCTCTTTCTTCCATGTCTGTTTTTCATAGCCCCTGTTTCCTTGCAGAAAACATTCATGCCCCAGGAAATTTAAGAAAAATTGTGTTCCTTTAAAAACACCACCACAAAAACTGCTTTCTTTGTTTTAAAAATGCAGCATAACTGATTGAAACCAAATAGTGTGTTGTTTCTATCTAGAGTTATTATGGATTCTGGCACATTATAAGAATGTGTCATTCATCTTCAAGAGCAGTGCTCAACAATACCCAATCTCAGGTACTCACTTGGTAGAAAATATAAGAAGGGTGTTGAATTATTCTTC